CGTGCCGCATCCCAAAAAGGGATTGATCAACGGCAAATGCTTTATCCTTTTTTATTTACCCATATTGGGAAAGAGTAAATAGGGTGGTTGGTGAAGCTCGAAGGGGTGGTGATGGGTGGTAGAGTGGGGAGTGGGAGAGGTTGTCGTCTGTTGAGTTTTTGGACGATGTTGGGTAGGTTTCGTTATTGGGGGAGCCTTCCAAGACTGATGGTAGTGTGGAAAGGAGGTCCCCTAAATGGAGCCAGAATCGTAATAGTATTTGATGCGATATGACCCATACGAATTGCTGGATGTATGTACAAGAATGCTTCCTTATCCTCCCCAAAGCCCCGAGCCAGGTAGCGATTGAAATCATCCTCATTAAAGGAGGGTTTGGACGCATGAGATACCGTGGCAAACTTGCATGCCACGCAGTTTTGAGTTTTTTGCGGGAGTAGTAAGGGTTGGTGAAGGTCGAAAGGATGCAAAAAAGGTCATGTTCCTGTAAGTTAGATAGATTGTGGTCGTGGGAGGGGGTGAGGCCTTTCGAACGGGTTTTCTAAAAATTTTGAGAAATTGAAAAAGTGACCATGAAGTGGTCAGCTGAAGGATTTGCTGCTTTGTTAGACAAAATTTACCTGGCTTGACGGTCATTTTGAAGGAGAAAGTGAGCGGTGTTGAGTTGTGCCGACTGGTCTCAGCGTTCAAATACCACAGGTTAGCGGTCTGTAAAATAGAAGGATAGAAATAGCCTGGTGGTGAGAGTGGTATCGGGGATGGGGAAGGGGGCTCTATTGGGGGCTCCTCTAATTGTAAGACTGACGGTGGGTAGTGGTGAGGGGTCATATCGAGACCCCCTAAAGGAGGGATTTCGTCTTGGCAATTGGAACAACGGACGGTTGAGCCTTGTAAGGAAGGATGGGGGGGGGGGAGGGGCGCATCACTTGACAGCTGGAATCCGAGTTTACACTTACTCGCTGAAGGAGCGCGAACATGTCGCGTGCCGCGGTGGCGACTGTCCCCCCTCTCCTCCGCAAACTCTAAGTTAACACTCACTGATTCATTGCACCTACTATACTCACATGAAACAACTCCAACTTCCTGGAGGGTGTTTCCTGTACACGAAAATATGTCCCTATATTTCATAAACGATCTTCCCGGGGCGGAGCCATGATCCAGGAGAACGGATAAATCATTTGCATCATGAAGAACTTGTGTCGAACCGGGAATCCCTTTCGACAAAAGGGTCTATGACAGGGGCATTGCTGTGCGCATACTGCTCTAATGCCGGTTTGGTTGAAGGAGTCCTTTGAAGCTACAAGCTGCAGTCTGTTGTAGTTCTGCGTTGTTTTTTTCTGTTTCTTTTGTGTGTTATGACATAAACGCCCCATGAAAAATATGTAATATTTATCTAG